CACGAAAACAGATCCTTGTGTTAACACCGACTGGTGCATGAAAAATTTACAATATTTCGCTGACTTTACAAACACTGCTTTACATAAATGTAGATGTCATTTTTTTTAACAATAAAAACTATTGCTTAGTGCTTAAGTTGAAATCAAATAAATAACACTAATGACAGACTCTCAACTCCTGAATGAAATTCTCTGTTGTCTGGATGTTTGTTTCTGCAGACATCTGTTGTGTTTCACATCAATGCATGTTAGATAAAACTAGAATAGCCGTCATCCGTTGGATAACTGTGGGTTTCGGGGGTCATCCATCAAAAAACATCACGTCTGTCACTCAGAGGCATAGCGACCCTTCCCGGCGCCCGGGGACAAACTTTTCGATTTGAACCCCCCCCCCCGCCCCCGCAAGATTTCGATTTGCAACCCCCCCCCCTCAAACTTTTGATGTGCACCCCCCCCCCCCCCCACTCAAACTTTCGATTTGCACCCCCCTCAACCTTTCAATTTATTTTTCCAAACCATTTTGGCGCCCCAACATATGCCCCCCCCCCTTCCCCCCTCCACCTCCCCCGCCTCCCCTTCCCCCCCCCCCCCCGCCTCCCCTCCCCCTCCCGCCCCCCCCTCCTCGCTACGCTACTGCAGTGTCACTTATCGACACAAAAAACAGACCCCACATTCAAAAATATGTTTTTTATCTTTTAAAAACACCGAAAACACCGATTTCGGACTATCCCTTCATATACTGACGTCACATGTGACCTACTTAACTCTACTTCACCTGCCCAGTGTCCCGCCAAGTCTCAGACAACATGTTTTTATCGTTTAAAAAACGATTCCAGCCGAGCATGTCTCTGACCACACTATCCTTTCATATGCTTGGGACAAAGAAACAGATGAACTCTACTTCACCTGCCCTGTATCCTTCCAAGTTCAGATAGGCAATTTTGTCATTCACATCTAAAAAAAAAATTGAAAAAAAAAATATCATTGACATATTGGTCTAGAACCTGTGCCACCCGCATGAGAGCCGGCTACACTACCAACTTAGCTATTTACTCGTGACGTCACAAGTGAATTTTTATACTATACTTTGAGTCTCCTTATGCAACTTGATTTACGCGCATAGATCTAGATCTAAGTCTAGTAGTAGTAACTTTCAAATTAAATTTTATCTTAAATTAGCCAAACAAAGATTTATTTAAAATAATTAAGGCCTGAAATAGATTCTAGATGTATTAAGGCCTGAAATAGATTCTAGATGTAGAATTTACATTAAGTCTAGATCTACAATTTACATTTAGTCTAGTGAACTAGATCTAGGCTAGATCTAGATCTAGGCTAGATTCATAACTTTCCTTCGACAGCTGATCTTTAGATCTAGAGAAATTTATTGTAAAACTAAATGAAAAAAGACAGTTTAAAATAGATATAAGTGTTGGAACGTAATAAATACAGCAAACGGACGTATTGTTAAAGTTAAAGCCGACAGAAAATTAGCTTTAGAACGCGTTAAACATTGGAATGGGAACACAATCTTCTTCGATAGGCCGCCATTATCGATGTAAAAAAAAACACATCATGTGACGTCACTGTTTCCGTCGAGTCTAGTGGCTTTTCAAATCTTTTTAAAAAATTGTGGTTAATATACGTATGAATAAATCAATAAATTAATTAACGTCTTTAAATAAATTTGTGATAAACAGTCTGTCTGCATTAAAAAGTTATTCTCTACCTACATACTATTTTACAGCTCTCCAGATAGAGTAGAACATATCACAATACTCGATCGGACAAACAAACAAACAAACAAAAAAATAAATATTCAAACATGTAAACAAACTTGACTTTTAGTAGTATATAGATAGTAAATAAAATTTCAAAATGTAAATATGCCTACAGTTGTTCTAGTTTTATTTGTAAACTATTTTATTGTATCAGTTTTACGTAAATGTTTTGGAAAGGGGAGTAAAATTCTGATATCGTACATATATATTGCAAATACGGTCAACACTAAAAGTATTACAGTTACAATAGGATTATTAAAAAACAAAAAAAAAAACAGAAAGTTAAATGTTAATGAATGAATGAAATAGTTGTGAACAATAAAATATTGACTTTTTCTTTATAACAATGAACATGACCGAAATGATCAAAGAGAGGATCAATTGTTTATATACGATTAAAATAAACATTTTCGTGGTATCTAACATAAGTATAAGCTGAGATCATAAAATAAAATCGGGCTTCATAAATACAGATGCGACAAAATATCTCGTTTTTTTCAGAAACCAAATACTGGCGAAACGTTCAGAGAATATGCCGCCTTATGATAATATAATAAACAATTACCAAATTCATTCTGAAGGTATTTGAAAAATTGGAAGAAGAAAAAAATACCAGAAATTGGTGGTCACTCAAAAATTAAGGTATTGTACTTTTTATATGTTGCGTCAATCTAATTAGAACTGTAAACTACTTTTCCCGGGGGGGGGGGGGGCGGTAGATTTTCTATGCGATTGGAATTTACTTGCTCCATAGTTTTTATTGGATTAAAATTACATTAGTTATCCCACAAGATCTTGAATAAAATAATTGTTTTTAAAGGTTTAAAGTTTGATCTAGGCTCGGAGTGGCGGGCGATTGAGCGCATGGTCGCTAAACAGAAAAATGAACCATCGGACAGATGAAGCTTAGGACCAGATAACTCCGAAATCAAACTGGAGTTAAGCCCCTTGGTGAATCAGAAATGTAAGAGTCAAACTAGAGTAGAGCCCCTTTTAAGCGATTGGATTACAAACTCGGGTTCACTTTATGCAGCGCCTAAGACACTGTTGACGTTCTTAAATTTGTGTACGAATGTGTTTATTTACTGTAAGTTTATTCAACTTTCTTCCTCCCTATTCTGGATATTTGCATATAGTTTTTCAATACAAACTACTTGTGTTCGGGAATGTATTTTTACGTTCTGCATTTTATTTGTATGATAACTGTTGTCATTATTCAACATGATTACTTACGATTGTGTAATTTGTTTGTTGTCTCCATGCAAAATAATATGTATATATATATATATATATATATATATATATATACATATATATATATATATATATATATATATATATATATATATATATATATATATATATACACATGTGTGTGAGTATGTGTGTGTGCGTGTGTGTTTGTTTGTTTAAACGAACCGAAATTAAAAAAAAAATAATACAAGTGATAAGTTTACGTAGAAAATAATTTTATCAAAGTACTAAAAGTATTTTTTTTTTGCTATTTATTTGTTGGAAAAATTGTTTTATAGAAATTAAAATTAAGATCAATTAATTTACAAACATCTCAGAATTTACTTAGTTTTATATCTCTCACAACATCCTGTAGTCTACCACCGAACAGTACATTTTTTGTTTGTGGCATTATTAAGTGTGGAAGTGATTTTATTTATATAATCCTTGTATTTGAATACAATTTACTAGTTTATAATTAGAATAGGAAAGAACCAGTTGCAAGTGTTAAAAGATAAACTCAACTTGATGCTAATGGATCGGATACGTGTTTTACTTTAGACAACTTTTTTTTAATAAACTGGGAGTGATCTCCCCTAAACTTTCTCGAATATTCTTATATAAAACAACAGGGGATGGGAACTCGGGATATAGACATGATTTGTAATCCATTTTAAATGCTTAAACTTTTTAAAATAGATTAAAATATCGTGGAAAAAGAATTGCACACCAAGTTAACGCCAAATAAAGATGTGCATAATAGCGCGCACTATTATATGTACTTTATAAATTTACATGCGTTTTTTGAGAAATCGGAAATAGCGTAAATTAGTACTTCCGGTCAACAGAAATTACTCAAAATTTGACAAAAGGTAGAGAATTAGATCTTTTACTTACAAGTGAAATTTCATTTATCTATCTGAAATAGTACTCAAGTTATAGGATTTTGAAAAATTCAAAGTAGAAAGAGTACCACTTCCGGCGATCGGAAATCACTCAAAAGTTGATACGGATCTACGATTTTGATAAAATACTTATATATAAAATTTCATCAACCTAGCTGTAACGGTACTCAAGTTATCGCGCTTACACACACACACACACACAGACAGACAGACACACACACACATACGGACAAGATTGCAAAATTATGTTTTTCCGTATCAGTGAGGAGTAAAACGTCGAGATTTGTAGAAATCTCGATTTTTTTTCTTGCACGAGTACAAGACTTTCTCTATACTTCGTATATACGAGAAAGTAAAAAAGGTTAATTAATTACAATCGGTAATCAGACACGTGTGTGTCGACAACAATTATTGATAAAGTGTTGTAAAGTGGGTTCTGTTATAATAATGCAAGTAATAGAAAAATGTGTTAAGTTAAGCGATATAAACAAAGCTTCAGAGGTAAATTGTAAATTGTATTGCGTAAACTGAAAATGAAGTAATGTATATCATAATAGTGTAATACTAGCAGAATTCATATAATTCAACTGGTATGTACGTCTGCGCCACTTCACTGGATATACGTGTAAACATGAGAAAAATAAAAAAAGTCTAAATTTATTAGGATTTAAAGACATGCAAATATTTGGCATAAGCAATATTGTTTATTGCGTTCTTGTCAAGACAAAAACAATTTAGTTAGAAATGTGTTTCTAGATTCGAATAAGCCATTATTTTATTTTCCTCTTTTAAATAAAATTAAGTTTCTACATTTTAAACATCCACCATATTATTTTCAACAAAAGTCCGTATTTTTAAGTTCTCCATATATCGCTGAACATACTGATCACGTTGCCAAAATATTGCGGACAGAGAGAGACAGAGAGAAAAAGATAGACAGAGACTTACATATATTAGGATACAAAGTAAACACTTAACTGATCAAGGGAGGGAACAATTAAAATTACTCACTTAATCAGTGAGAGAATAATTATGTACATTGAAAACGATAGTACAAGAATATTCCGATCCAAAAAATAAAAAAGTATACACATTATAACGTTTCTTTTGTACTTTTAAGTGATTATAGATATTTTCTAAATAAACAAACATGTTCGATAAGAAATATATTAAGTAAAAAATAAAACTATCTAAACATTGGATTCATATAAATAATCCATTTACTCTACTACATTGTTATAACCGCAAAATATACAAACTTATTATACTAAACTTTACAAATCCCAAGTTAACAGTAATAGTTACTATCTCTACTTTGTGTTATTTTGCATGGAATATGAAAAACTATGCCAACAAAATTAGTATTGAAACAATTACACAGGTTATTAGATGTAAACTACACACAATCCAGGTGAATGGCTAATTAAAGATATAGTCGTAGATGACAACTACACTACTAGTATATTTATGTATATGCAAGAAATAAATGACACCATCGTAGACGTTTTTTTTCTCCTCGTTTTAATGGCTAACCGTAATCAATAAGGTATTTCAATTCTAGATTACTTCACATATGGTATTAATACATCATAGAATCTAGTAGCATAATAAATTATTTTAGAGTTTTTCAAAGGATTTTTCAAATACAATGTTATGGTTTAATGTTCATTATAAAGAAAATATTGCCTTAGTAAATATTTTTACATCTATTTATTTTAATATAAGTAATTATGTTGATGTTTCTGAAGATTATACAAGTAATTAGTCTACATATTTTGAATCCATTATTTTACCACAGCATTGTTTTCCGGTTGTTTACATTTGACGAAGTTTCAACTCAACAAAATCTAGAGAGTCAGTCGAGCTTGTAATTCTAGCCCAATGAATTCCTTTATCATAAAAACTACTAGCCCATTCACCGTTGACGTTAACGTCGTAACAACGTCTAAACCACCAACCACCTCTCCTATCTACAGCACAGTTTCCACTCGACAAGATATCGTTATCAGAGTCAAAGGTTGTAAACTTCATAAACTTGTGACCAATAAAGTCATCTCTAATATTCCCACCACTGAATGACGTGAAGCTCATCTTATACTTTGCTGCTTCATTTTCTACCTTAAAACCTCTGTACACAGCGTAGTAGTCTTTACCTTTATACTTCATGTCAAATCTGAGTTCATTATAACCCTGTGATAGACAAAAATATAAGCCTACATATATAATTGAAATCTTTGTTTTGTACTAGCTATATAAATTATTGATGTATACATTAATAATATCAGAAATCTACTTACCGCTTAAACGTTAGTGATAAATATGATACACACATATCTAAACGCATTTATTACGTACTAAAATAGTTATACATGCACAACTTTACAATGAATATAAATATTATTAGTAGGGCTTTTTTTTAGAAAAGACAAAATATTACATAAGGATATTAAGACAGTCAACTAGATAGTAGCCAGCTGCGGAACTACAATACCGCATGATCCTGCAGTGCGGAGTGTGGGGGGGGGGGGGGGGAGATAACGTTTAGGGGCCCATATCCCACCAAAAAAAATCAATACATTTTCTTTTCATAGTGTTTTTTGTACACCTTGACAAACAGGTCTACTATAGCATTGATTGTTCTACAGTAACTAATACACATGTTGAGTAGAAAAATATTTTAAAATCTAGTTCAAAATACTTCCATGACTTACTGCCCTCCTTTAAAATAGTGCTGCCCAAAAAGCTCATTTAAACAATTGTGTACTTTGTAAATTTAAAGGCGATTGAAGATCTCAATTATTATTTAAATAAGATATACTGAAGAATCGTAAAGCTATAAAAATGAAATGAATTCAAAATTGATAAAAAATTAAAATTCATAAAAATAAACATAACGCGAGATTCCATTGTACAAATTAAACGTACGCGTTTGTATACCTTTGAACTGCCTACCTGTTACCAATTATTTCTTTTCACAATTTTTGTTAAGGGGTCGTCCATTTATAACGTCCACAAAAATTTGGGATTTTAGACCACCCCCCCCCCCCGTCCACACACGTTAACTTTAGACGAACACCCTTTCCTCCCTGCAAAATTACTAATTCATTTTCATACAATGTTTACATTAACTAATAATGTAATATAGTGATTCGATATTTTCGGTACCATCTATTACTAGGCCTAAATATTAATTGGGAGTCAAACTTTTCCAAGATCTCCGTAACTCTACGGCGTGTTAACTTACCGTGTGAATGTGCTAAGACTATCTAAAATAGTTCTTTATTGAACCCTGCCTCTCAATTTTAAAGGCTTTTTATCCACTAATAGTTATAATGTTTTAAAGAAATATTTTCAGTGTCAGCGCTGGTACCGTCGATTTCACAAATTATGAATTACTGAAAAGTAGAAAAAACAACAACTAAATAGCGGCGTATGTTATGCCGCGGGCCGGCTCTTAATGTATAATCAATATTGTATATGCTTTTTTTTTTATTTTTTAAATCATCAAAATTAAGTATTACGTGGTTTAATTCCGACCCCCCCCCCCCCAGGCCCCACGCGTCCTTGAAAGTCGATTATACCTGGTTTGTTTCAGGATGGTTATACATCGCAGTGAAATAGGTTACATTACTCAGGAAAAATATAATTTAAAATTTATTGGAGCGTTTTTTTTCCTAGTTCCGCCACTTATAGTAACACATCAATATATTTTTTTACGAGAAATATCTAAATTAAGCAAACGTATGACTGTCATTCGTGGGACAAGTTATTCACTGCTAGTCAATAATACCCACTCCCACAAATGAATTACACTAGTTCTGTTATTACTGTCCTCTCCTTTAAATTACAACATATTTCCATAACTATCCATTTCCTATTCAGAACCCAATGCTTTAACTATCGCTAACCTATTGTATCCATTACATATTAGAAAGTACAATGTATTTAATCGTTAATGCAAATACTAAATTTTAAAGTAGATTCTTCGTTGAAAGTGACGTAGAAGAAACTATGATTAAATTGAGAAATTGATGTTGAAACGACCCCATGTTCTGTGAATCAGTCATCATATAACCTAAATTATAAAGCTAGTGTATACATGTATCGAATAAAATGATTTTTGTTTACAATTATAAATTATGTTACAGCATGTACATCGTGAAGTGTGTGTATGGTACAATTACCTTAATAGTCCCATAAAACACATTACTCATTGTTACTTTGTTATGTTTAAGTACAAAATTCAGTTTCTTTACATTGTTTTCAAGCAGCCGTTATTTTCTTACCAAATCTGTCAAGTTAGAAATTACATCATTTCCGATCCAAAAGTCTCCAGAAGTTGAACCGAATCCTTTTTTATAATCGTTCCAAGTTCTTGTAAAGTTCACATCACCTTTGATACGTCTCTGTAAGAAATGACGGCAATAATAAAATACAGTTTTAAGTAAGTTAATATTATTGATTCCAAAGATTAATTATGTTTCAATTTCAAGTGTTAATATAAATCAAAATATATAGGTATTTTAAAATGATTATGTATATAATAAAAGCCCTGATAAAGCTACGGTTAAGTGTGTTCATTTGATTTATTCCATGGCTTAACTATCTTTGAAATTAATTAAGTTTCTAGTTATTTAGTCGTTAGTTTATAATATTTAATACTTTTCACATTAACTCTCTAAATAATTACAACACTTTGTGTATTAGACAGCTAAATTTTGATGAGATGACACTGTTTACTTCAGTTCAATCTTGAAACCAAATATATCCCAAAATTGTATACCATCATCAGAAAGAATATTGTTTTTACACAATTACAATCTTCAAAATAAATTTACACTCAACATTATCGTTGTCTATTACGAAGTCTGATTTTCTCTATTTTATTTCAAAATCCTAACTTTTATCTAGAATAACAGTAAACTAAACTACTAATCATATTTCACACCAACATCCACCAAACATTGAGCTATGTTAAAAACAATTCTGTAAACTGGCCACCTTACTTCACGTCAACCAATTAGAATACTGACCAACGGTCTGAAAGAACTATAACAAAACTAGAGCTGGAGTCTTTTGACGTCCATATTACTTATTAGATTCGTTGTAATTTCAAATAGACAATCACTTCGTTTGTCGATCAACTATTAGATTTTTTTTCTTTAGATCGTATCTAGTGTCAGCATAGTGTATCATACGTGTGTTTTCAATAAAAATATATACATCAAAACACTTAGAATAAAATTTTGGAAAAAAACTAATTAAGTAAATGTCTAAGAAAGAAAAAAACACCTGTATAATAATCCATCCTCCACCGTCAGTCTTGGTATCACACAATGTTCTGTTGACATCTACTCCAGCCGCTGTTATATCCGCCAAAACACTGTCGTTCATGTCGGCACATTTTAACTAGAGTAAAAAAAACATTCTGAATATTTTCATTTATTATTATTAGTTGAAACGGAATTGATTGAAAACAAATGGCCAATTTAATATCTCATTTATTTTGCTTAACATTGTCAAGACAAGGAACTAATGTATGTAAAGTGAGCTCCTTGCACAGCAGCCGCATAAGTAAAAAGTAGTGATATTATGCATTTTAGAGGCACATCTACTAAATCGTACTTTTATAAATACTTTTGATTATGCAATTCACTTTATCATTAACAGCCCCTAACATTTGTCAGAATATTATGTGTATTTAAAAAATAGCTGCATACTATGGAATAAAAATAAATTAATAAAAAAAAACACAATTAAAAAATCGACTTTTGTGGACACGTGTAGACTGGGGGGAGGGGGATGTTCGGGTCAATGTGGACGTACACATTCATTTAAAATGCATATTGATTACACTTTAAATCGGCAGTTGTCGTGGTAAATGTATAAACAATTTAGCTGTTTACCACCCACTTAACAAAAAAATAAGCGATTATTTTTACAAGCGGGAGGGGATGGGGCAGTGACCGCTGCAATTTTTCTAAAACAATTCATGGTATTTCAAGTTTATTTTTAAACATTTCAAACAATTGTAACTAAATCATAGTAGGCCTACATAATTATTTTGTGTCAAAGCCTAAGATGAAATAGATCTAGTCATTTTTGTTCAAGTATAAAAATTTAACGTACGTGTTCGCTTTCGTTGGGCACAGAGCCATTCAATCCATGTAATCTACTACCTAGAACACCAATTTTATCTGGTTTTGAAATCCGATGTTGAATGGTGTTGTTGGTCTTCTCCTTACGGGCGAGTATATCAATGTTAGTATTGTTTAGCAGTGATACAGCTGTTTGTAAATCATTCAGTGTCTTTGATTGTGTATCTGACATTAATTTGTTGCTTTCCACAAGTTGTTGAATGCTTATATTTTGACGTTGTTCCAATATCGATGTGCTATTTTTTAACATTTCAGTAGTTAAATTTAGTAAATCTTTTTTGAAATCTTGCATGGTTTTTGTTAGCATTTCACTTTGATTTGACTTGTGCGACCAAGTTTGTATATCAAATGATATGTTATCCACACTGAAGTTCAGTCTCTCTAGTTGTTTGTGTAAAATATTGTATAGACTTGCTAACTTTTGTATTGACTTATTGTGTATTTCTTGTGTTTTGATGTTTGCTTCTATCTGCTGAGTTGTTTTTAATAGGTTTTCAGTTAAGTTGTTTTTAAAACGCGTGAGCTCTTGATTTGTTTTATGTAAGGTGTTCAATCTGTTAACAACGTTGTTCATTTGATTTTCAAGTCTCTGAATTGTAGATCCTTGTGCAGATACCAAGCTATTTAATCTACTTTCCATAGCATGGGTAAGGTTAACAAAAGCTTCACCAATGTTTTCCTTTGTTAATTCTGTTTTAAGATAACTTTGGTTACAACGTTTGTCATCTGTTGAAAACTGTAAATGCATGTGTAAGTCAGCTCTGTTTAACCTATCAGAATCTTGAAATGTTTTTAGAAACTCGGACATTCTATCAATTGTTTTATCATTCTCTGGAGTTTTAGCCTCTAAGGTCATCAACATCAACGGCTTACGATTGTGTTGGTCAACAGGTTTGGTTTTATTTTCTTTCATCTCAATGAGACCCCTTCTATTTATGTAATACACATCACATCCAAACGCTGTACTAAAACAATCAGAAGGTTTTGTAAATGACACAGTCAACTCTCCAAGGACCTTTAAAAACTTTCCATCAACTTTTGATCCATTTACTTTATTATCTCGAATTTTTGAATCTGATTCTGATATAGACGCCAACATAATCTTCCCCTCTAATTCACTGATCCTATAGACTGACATGTTGACAAGAGCTGAGATTTCATTATCTTCTCGTGTGTTCTCAACACAACGTAATTTGGCACAGAATAAATCTTTACCCTCCATACGGTATTCACTTTGTAGTGAAATGTCAAGTCCTGAAATATAATGAAATAAAGCACCGAAATCGAACAAATAAATAATTTAGGAAATAATTTTCTTTTAATACACTTAATGAAAAACAAGCTCCGAATAATTACATCAATTTCAATTAATTCATGGTGAGTTCTCACATAGAAGTCTAATAATTGCAAAAACATAATCAAAACCAAGAAAGTGTATTCTATACTTTCAGTTGTAATAATATAATCCGTGTTAAATTATTATTCAGTCTGTTTTACTTTATTTAAATTAATTTGACAAAGCCATGAATTAAAAATATGTAGATCTATTTATCAAAGTTTGTATAAACACACTTCTTTTCAATTGATATACAAAACATTATATTGCTGACTACATGTAGTATACAAAAAAATCCAATTCAAAATAATCTATTACGTATTTAATTTGTAAACGTATTGTCTTAAACGTAAATCAAACGTCAGCCCTTAAAAGTAATAACTGTGTACGCTTTTCTGTTCAATGGAAATTGGACTAAAACCGAAATGTTTTATAATTTTTCTCGTTTAGAAAGACATGTATTTGTATTGATTAGAGCGATTGACCCAAGAAAGTATGGGTTGGGACGGCGTAATCGTAAATAAAACCGCGTAAGATTGTATCTCCAAAAGTTCCGAGATTATCACTTGTCAAATAATGCACATTAGGTAGAGACAGCAATGTATTATAGGAAAACAACATCTTAAAAACCCATCAACTACTACTTATTGGGAGGGCAGAGACTATCGAAGTTAATCCAGAAAGAAAAGCTGGGTGATGTCGAAGTAAACAAAGGATATAACCCAGAAATTAATATAGGCATTAATTAAGTATGTTGGAGGCAATTAGATAGAATCGTACATTTAAAAGCTAGTTAGAAGGAAGTGATCGATTAACCAAACTATGACATACACATGTAAATCTTTTTAAAATGATGTCAAGGTAGAGTTAACAATATCTAAAGGTGGGCTTGTTACTCTCATGTGAAGAAAAAGCTTCTTGCTTAAAGTAACCAATTTTAAATTATTTGAAATCAGAATATTTACACAAAATATATACAATAGATTTTCTACGGCATGATTGATTTCAGCTGACAAAAAGATCTTGAGTTTGGTTCCGTGAGGTGGTAACCTAACTAAGGTATGGAACAGAAATTAAGACTTAGCTCATGATTTTGTCCTTGCACATGTCAAGATAAAAAGACAATGACAAATGTATTTTCTCTTTCGGTCGACAAAGACGCCAACAAGCGAATATTTGTATACCGCGGTGTTTGGTCATAAGTTAATTGTGACATTTTAGATATATACAAATGTAGGCCTACTTACCACAGGTAAACATGATATTTACAACCAACAGAGCCGTGAATAAAACAGCAGACATTGTAGAGTTGTGTAGCTCTGTATAACACCAGCTTGAGACTTCTTTAAAACGCAGATTCTGTTTATTGTGAGGATATCGCAGTCTATTTATACCACAAAGTTTAGTTGAAGCAAAAAATAATCGCTCAGACTTGTTTACAAAAACGTGTGAGAATTGCTTACTATGCACGTCTACATAAAAAATATGCTGAAGCGTTATTACAGTTAAAGGATCTAAAATAAAATAAAATGGCTACATATTTAGAGCCCGACTTTTATTTTGGAAGAGATTTCTAGGTTGTTACATGTCATGTGTAGGTAGATTAGAATAGGTTAGAATAGTCTAGAACGCACGGGAGAGGCGTGCGTGAGTTGAGTTAACCCCTGTGTGTAGTTACCCCGATGTGTTTATGTATTGTTATCCCACGGTCGATTGCCGGTATAAAAGCTGGAGTGAACGATTGTAAAGGGCTGTTTGTTTGTAGCGGCTAGGAACGAGGGCTTGTGGTGTAATGATAAACATGACAATTTAAAAAAAATGTTTGAGCACTGCCCTGAATTGTGTTTGGAGTTGAATTAAAGGTCGATCGTAACATAGTTCTATTATTTAATTTACCAAACAGCTAATCTTTATTAAAAGGAATAAATGATGATTAATACTTTACCGAATATAATTTGTACTGATTTGATTTTTGTGAGCAACTCATTACTTTAAATTCGCAAAAAAATTTAGACATTGTTGAAGGCAATTAAGTCAATATAAATGTGGACATTAAGAGGAAACATGGTGACTAGGGAGATTTAAAAGATATATAACTGAAGTATAACAACATATAAAGCAAAACGTTTTGCCTCTAAAAATTTAACTTACCTCAACAACAAGGAAGTAGCGTTTGGTTATAATACCACAAAACAACTGCTACAAATAAAAAGTGAACCAGTGACATTTTGAGAACCACTGGACTTGAATCCACCGATATATATTTTTTTTTATATACGCCTTGGTGTGGGAACTCAGCTTCACACACGTATCACGTGACATGCAACGAGTAAAAACAACTCAAGCACAAGATAAGAGCTCAGCTGTCTACATTATATCACTAAGTCTTGGCCTTGAGATTTAAATAACAGACGTACGAGTGTAAATATGTCAAGGCAACCCTGACCCTGGAGTAATTATGTATGCCAAACTTTTATTCCCCCGATATAAAAAGTCGTTCTCAAAATAAAAATAAATTAAAATAATTATTTAAAAAATCGGAAGTGTCAATTTGTCTATGATATTACATTTATTTTATATACTTTATTTCAAACATATGTGTTTATACCCAGATAAAAAAGGTCGAGTAAGCTAAGCATTTACATGTAAATAAAAATGTTGTTTTCAATTATTATTCATACCAAAATTAATTATAAATATTAACACATACTTTCTTCACTAGAGGATAGTAGCAATAACCCAACAAATGTCATGGCAAAGTTTTAGCGAAATTTAGTACAAAATAAATATGTGTTGCAGTAATACTTTACATACGGTTTACAAACGAAGAAGATGTTTTCTACTTTCTCGTATATACGAAGTATAGCGAAAGTCTTGTAATCGTTTTACATTTCACTGAATAACATAATTTTGCAATCTTGTTCGTATGTCTGTGTGTATGTGTGTGTGTGTGTGTGTCTGTGTATGTGTAAACACGATAACTTGCTGTTCAGGTGAAATAAATACGTTATTTCCTTAGCTACATGCTTTTTAAATGTTAAATTGAGATCAAAAGTTTACTTTTGATTGCATTGCTACGTGAATCAGCTAATTTATATCAACTGTTTTACCGTAATTTCAAAGTTCTCATGTCTGAAACCCCTTGCCCTACCTTATGTGGGGCGAAATACAAAGTAAAGTTATAGGTTTACATGTTTTTACCTACTCACAAGATAGAAAAATGTAAAATCTCAACAACAAGCTATGAGTATCGAACGTAGATACCCACATTCTTGTCTTGATGCACGTGTTGTTTTGCTCGGTTCATGTAAGACGATACCAGTGGGAAACGTAATTTTCGCGCGATGGTGCTGCCAACAATTTTTTACATGCAAAATGTCATTTTTTTTAAAAATTATGTCTGGTGCACAAGGGTTCTAAATTTGTTTTTGATAAATTCTATTTTAGAAAATAATATTAATGTTAGAATATTTAGAAATGTATGTTCATCATTATAATGTTTGTATCTATTAAAACGCAGCACATAGTAAATGTCTTTTACTGTAGTCATAACGCGCCCCACCCCAACCCCCCCCCCCCCCCTCCAAATTTCCGTAAACGTTGGTGAGCGGTTTTAACCAGTGACTAACTATAAAATGTGTCATTTTACTGTTACACAGTCAAAGTAGAAAAAGTTAAAACTGCGAGTGAGGCCTGATAGCCGTATATTTTCTTAACTTTTTTGTTTATTATCATTGAATATTACAGCTTGTAATTTGTTTTAATTTTATTGCTACCTCCTTTGGTAGCCTGTTGCTTGACCTCGTCATGGTAATGAACGATTAGTGTTTGATGCAAACTTTTATTTATACATATTTTTGTTCTAATCGCTGAGAATGTCGAGCTGAATATAATACAATTAAGCGAACGTGAATTGCTTTATTCAATGTTGTTCTAATCATACTGAAAATATACTTTAAACCAGGGGTCTCCAAACTTTTCAGTCCGAGGGCCGCATTAACTATCAAATGTCAGTTCGGGGGCCAGTTTCTTCCAGGCATGTCTTTGATTTTTCTGGGCAAAGTTCCTCAGCAATCACCAACAAACGTTTTTACCGTGGGAAAAAAGATCTCCGCGGCCCGGATGAGAGGCCGTAGTTAGGAGACCCCTGCTCTAAACTATAGAAAATTATAATTTGCTCTCTACTAAAGAAATGGCATTAATATTTTGAAAATCATACAGGGCATAAACAAAACATAAAAAAATAACTTGGTCGAGACAACAGCTGACAAAGCCTGCCCATTTGCCCGCCGTGTATTTGAATAAGGAGAAATCTAGCAGACGATATATTTCTGCTGAACGGCAGTATACGGCCAGTAGCGTCACAACTACACTCCTTAAAAAACTAACCCATCGTATCACTGAAAATCTGTCATATCGTCTTAGCTATTTAAAAACAAACGCGTTTTTTTGCAAATCATTTTTTATTCTACCGACTAAAATTAATAAATGAAACTGCTATCAAATTGAAGGTAAATCAATTTAGTTGTTTTTGATTGTTTAATTTCTGTTACTGGAAATTGCTGAAAAGTTGATACACAATTTTATTTAAATATAATACATGTATATACTTGTTCATCTACCTAGCTATAACAGTACTCAAGGTATCGTGTTTACAGACAGACACATAAACACACATACACACACACAGATCTACGGACAGAATTGCAAAGCCCAGATTTCCCGACTGGATTACGCGACGGAACTAGCCTTGTTTTTGCAAGGGGACAAACATCATCGTCAGTATTGCTTCTTCGAGATCGAGATAGTATTCTATTTTTAAACAGTTTAATTAAGTGATTAGAATGGATTAAAAAACATGTCTATATCCCAAGTTGCCATCTTCCGTGGTATTATATAATTATATTCATTTAAAAAAAAATCTAATGTAAGTATTTAGTGGTTTAATTCCGACCCCCACCCCCATAGTTTCTTCCAGACATCTCTTCCGAAGAAAGACAACCTCCCCCCCCCAAAGTTGATTGGTTGCTGAAATTTTATATATAAGTATTTTATCAAAATCGTAGATCCGTATCAACTTTTGAGCGATTTCCGATAACCGAAAGTGGTATTTTTTCTACTTTGAATTTTTCAAAAGCGTATAACTTGAGTACTATTTCGGACAGATAAATGAAATTTCACATGTAAGTCAAAGCTCTAATTCTCTACCTTCTGTTAAATTTTGAGTAATTTCTGTTGACCGGAAGTAGTAATTTACGCTACTTCCGATTTCTCAAAAAACTAATGTAAATTTTTAAAGTACTAATAATATTGCGCACTATTATGCAGGTTTTATTTGGCGTTCACTTGGTGTGCACTTCTTTTGTCTACGAGATTTTATTCTATTTTTAAAACTTTAAGTATTTAAAATTGATTAAAAATCATGTCTATAGCCCGAGTTCCCATCCCCTGTTGTTTTTTATAAGAATATTCGAGAAAGTTTAGGGGAGATCACTCCCTGTTTATTTTCTATTCGATTCCATTCTGTGTTCAAAATGTTATTTACAAGAAAGTTTAGGGGAAATCACCACTCCCGGTTTATTAATTCGCATTGCTGTTAGTACCTTTTGAATATACTTATTGTTGAGATGTTGAACTTAAATATCTAACACATCTAATTTAAAATTTAATTTTAAATTTTCGGGATGCTACATTTCATAGGTGTAAGCCTCCATTTAGCATACTAATGTAATGGCATTTATAAATTTTCCCCGCCTTTCTCACTTCTCAGTAGTACTTGTATCTTTAGGCTCCCTGTCCACACACCCTATTTATGAAACAAAAACCAATACTACGCACAAGAAAATAGTCCCTTATACAACAATAACTAACATTCACGACATAAAACTAAGTGAAACCAAACACACCAAAACAAAGTTTGCATAAATAATATCAAAATATAAACAAGACAAAGCAACTATAAACCATTTTAAAATCATAATCATATCAGCGGCATAAAAGCGGACTACTTAAATAAAAACCACAACAATCCTCAACAGGAACACTAAAAGCGACATTCACCTTTTGTAATAAAATAATAATTAAATAACTCCCCAGCCACTTACATTAATGTTGTTGTTTTTTCAGGTGTACAGATTGACATGAATAGAGAATATTTTTACCACGGCAAAGATTTATTTTGTGCACAACTCCAGTGTACAGAAAACATAAGAGAAGACACTCAGATATCAGCTCTTGTCAACATGTCAGTCTATAGGATCAGTGAACCAGAGGGGAAGATCTTAGTGGCGTCTATTTCAGAATCAGATTCAAAGCTTCAAGATTACAAAAGTGCTGGAACAAGAGTAGATGGAAAAATATCAAAAACATTTTCTGAA